CTCTCACTCACTCTCACTCACTCTCACTCACTCTCACTCACTCACTCACTCTCACTCACTCACTCACTCGCACTCACTCACTCACTCGCACTCACTCACTCACTCGCACTCACTCACTCTCACTCACTCACTCTCACTCACTCACTCGCACTCACTCTCACTCACTCACTCTCACTCACACTCACTCACACTCTCACTCACTCTCACTCTCACTCACTCTCACTCTCACTCACTCTCACTCACTCACCTCTACTCTCACTCACTCTCACTCACTCTCACTCTCACTCACTCTCACTCACTCACTCTCACTCACTCTCACTCTCACTCACTCTCACTCACTCTCACTCACTCTCACTCACTCTCACTCACTCTCACTCACTCTCTCCCCCTCTCTCCCTCACTCACTCTCACTCACTCTCACTCACTCTCACTCACTCTCACTCACTCTCACTCACTCTCACTCACTCTCACTCTCACTCACTCTCACTCACTCTCACTCACTCTCACTCACTCTCTCACTCACTCTCACTCACTCACTCACTCACTCTCACTCACTCTCACTCACTCTCACTCACTCTCACTCACTCTCACTCACTCTCACTCACTCTCACTCACTCACTCACTCACTCACTCACATCACTCTCACTCTCACTCTCACTCTCACTCTCACTCTCACTCTCACTCTCACTCTCACTCTCACTCTCACTCTCTCTCTCTCTCTCTCTCTCTCTCTCTCTCTCTCTCTCTCTCTCTCTCTCTCTCTCTCTCTCTCTCTCTCTCTCTCTCTCTCTTCTCTCTCTCTCTCTCTCTCTCTCTCTCTCTCTCTCTCTCTCTCTCTCTCTCTCTCTCTCTCTCTCTCTCTCTCTCTCTCTCTCTCTCTCTCTCTCTCTCTCTACTCTACTCTACTCTACTCTACTCTACGTGACTTTCTTTCACTTTGTTTGGTGGCTCACCAAAATTCTTAAACTATCACCTAGCCGTTAGAAAATTAATGTTAGCAGCTTGTGATTGGATTTCTCACCTGCCATTTTCTTGAAACCCCTGGCACTGTGTTGCTGGAGAATTGAAACTTCTCATTCTCACACTTTGCCCAGTAATCTTGCGCCCATGTTTTGTAGTATAAATCTGACCATCTCCACCTGATATCATCCTATTCAATATCACCTTCTCTGATGAGCCTTATGAAGGCGAAACAGCTGTCAGGAGGAATTTCAGTATCTACCTGCAACCCTTCCTTGTATGGCTGTTGGTGTGTGTAATGGCTACCGAGGGTAGCAGTGAGTCGGCTGTGAGAGCGCATGGAGGAGAGGAGAGGAAGAGTTCTTTAAATAATAATAAAAAAATTAAATGATGTTGAGTTGCCAGTAATCCTTCTGATGAGATGGCGACGAAAACGTTTAAGGAACAAGCTTTTATACATGAAAACAAGTTTTGCTGATGGTGTTTGTACTGAGTGCGCAGCTTACTCTATTTATTGCGTTAATAATAATAATAATAATCGCCAGACCCACCAGGACTCGAACCCGGGACCTTGCTTGTCCTGAGCAATGCTCTAAAAAAATCGCCAGACCCACCAGGACTCTGGCGATTTTTTCTCTTTTCAGGCAGTTCACTTCCCCTACTGTTCCTTTGAATTTGAAGTTCTCCCAATCCTTTTATAAATTTATCACTCTCTTTCACTTCTGGTAGGGTCCAGAAACTAACCGTGGTTGGTCCCATGGGGGAGGGAGAAAGACCCAAGTGCCATCAGTATGTGTGGCACGTGTTGTGAGCTGCCTTTGGAGTGAAAACCTTGTCAGCGCCTTCTAGGTTCAGCCCGGTCCCATAGCTCAGTGGTTAGAGCATTGCTCATGACAAGCAAGGTCCCGGGTTCGAGTCCTGGTGGGTCTGGCGATTTTTTCTCTTTTCAGGCAGTTCACTTCCCCTACTGTTCCTTTGAATTTGAAGTTCTCCCAATCCTTTCATAAATAATAATAATAATAATTAAAAAGCTTACGTGGAGATAAAAATGTAATCAACGCAATAAATAGAGTAAGCTGCGCACTCAGTACAAACACCATTAGCAAAACTTGTTTTCATGTAAATAACTAAGCTTGTTCCTAAACGTTTTCGTCGCCATCTCATCAGAGGATTACTGGCAAATCAAAACTAGCTCTAAACTCAATATATATATGTTGCTTTTCTGTTTGGTCTCGTTCACGTAGTCAAAGGTATCTGCGTGTATTGGAGTCTATCTACATTTTTACCACCAAGCCGATTTTGTGTAGGCAGAAAAAGAATTTGTTTACGTTGAAATTGTTTGTGAATTTAGATCAGTAGTTCTCGTTTGTAGTTACTTTCTAGTGGTGAATTTATCGCATCTGTTGTCACCTGATATCGTTGATTGATGTAATGTTTCTTTCAGCTCTCATTTTCTCGCGCTAGGTAGGGTCTAAATTATTACTTGCATTGTGCATATATATATTGAGTTTAGAGCTAGTTTTGATTTGCCAGTAATCCTCTGATGAGATGGCGACGAAAACGTTTAGGAACAAGCTTAGTTATTTACATGAAAACAAGTTTTGCTAATGGTGTTTGTACTGAGTGCGCAGCTTACTCTATTTATTGCGTTGAATAATAATAATAATAATAATAATAATAATAATAATACAACCTGTAACTAAAAACCACCGTGACTAGCGACCAGCCTGGTACTACAGACCACTTCGCAAGGCACGGACGGTCTCACATTCATATATGGCTGTGCGGTGCAAACCTCTAACTAAGGACCACCTGCCACTAAAGACCGCTTTCTCTGGCCCCAAGGGGTGGTCGTTAGTCACAGATTTTACTGTACTTTGTAACATAATTATGCTACACAAGTAGAACTTCAGAGATATATATTTAAACTAAATTATTAAAAAGGGAGCTGTCACTAACAATGTATTAGCTTACTTTGTGGTTTGGGGGCTGTTGATAATGATGGTGAACTTCGTTTTCTTCTGAGGCGACTGCGAGTCGGTCAAAACTACCCACGCGAAGGTGTCCAAAATTGCCCCGAAGTACAGTGTGATGTGACGATCGACATAAGGACTCACGAAACTTGGCCAAGAGAAATATTAAAACTCCATCTGTTGTCATACGCAATATTATCTCCACTCCACCCCAAGTAAATGCATACTAGCAGTGTTCCCAAATCCGTTCCGGAATAGTTGTTAGGGGAGCGGCCACCTTAGTCTCCAATCTCACTGGCTGGCTCTTCATGCTTGACAAAATCACGCAAGTCGGTATCACGTAATGAACTTTGTTTTGACCTTCAAACCTTGCTGGCACAAGAAAGCTACACACGACTGCACCGTATACCAAACTTGCCAGGGTAGTTAGTTGAACACACACACGCACGCACGCACGCACGCACACACACACACACACACACACTGGTGACAGGGTGGGTCTGCTCACCTGCAAAACCAATTCTGGTACTGACAACTTGCAAACCACCAAACTACTTGCCAGTGAAGCTGTTTCGTGAATCACTAGCAAGTAATGCAAAAAGCCAATTTTTCGCAATACACCATTTGCTGCGCAGTACAGCGAAAAGCAAATAAATCTCATAGTAGTACTAGAACTGCTGAACTAAACACGCTCTTGGTCTAACTGGACTTCTGTGTCTATTACTGTTGGCGTTGTTAAGATGCTTTAACACCTAAGCTGGGGAGTTTCTCCCCGTTTGTCCCATCGCTACCCTTGCGTTTTGTAGGCACTGAGAAGAGTACTATAACAACAACAACGACAACAACAACAGAAGCACCACATTCTGGTCATGGACAGACAGCACTATCCACCTTCTTCGAGAAGCCCTTTCACGCACAAATCTCAACCACCATCCAAACCAACACGACCCATGCCCAGTTGACACCTTCTGGCGATCCTGGCGCGACAAAGTCCTGAGCATCGCCCAAGAACACTGCCAAGTTTCTCGCACTCACCCCCCTTGGGACAGGAAGAACGTGCCAGCGCGACCATGGATATCAAAGGGCCTCTTGAAAGAGATCAAGGATAAGCACAGAAAACACAGAATATACCTCCACTCACGCTCGCCCGACGACTGGAACACGTTCACTGCCCAAAGAAACCGTGTCACCACCCTCCTGCGTCGTGCAAAATCGGATTTCGTAAACAACTCAACAGCCTCCTCTACTTCCCTACACCGCCTCATGAAGCACCTCACTACAGCTACAAAACAACGCATACCCGAACTCGTCAGCCAAGCAACTCCTGCAACGACACCAGCACAAAAAGCCGCTGCCCTCAACGAATTCTTCATTTCACAGAGCAAGCTGTCCGTGGCCAATGCGGATGAGCAAACTCCAGCCATCAACACCACCCCTGACATCCTCAGTCCCCTTCAAGAAATCTCGACTTCCCAAGCTGAGGTCGAAAAACTCCTCCGCGGAGTTGATACCAATAAAAGCCCCGGGTTCGACTCTATTCCAAACCGCCTACTCAAAGAAGCGGCTAAGGAACTTGCACCGTCGTTATCGTCCCTCTTTAATCTATCGTTCCAAACCGGAGAAATCCCACAGGAGTGGAAAGACGCCACCATTACTCCAGTACCCAAGCCCGGTGACCCAACCCAACCAACAAATTACAGACTCATCTCTCTCTTGAGCACTACATCAAAAATCCAAGAAAAAATTGCACATCAACTCCTCTACAAGCACATCACACCCCACCTGCCCAACCAGCAGTCCGGATTCCGTGAGAAAGACGGCACTGAGCAGCAGCTCGCCCGTCTCGTCCATACCCTCTCCACTGCGAGAGACGACGGGAAACACGTCAATGCCTGCTTTTTTGATCTAAGCAAGGCCTTCGATCGTGTGTGGCATGCAGGCCTTCTAGCAAAACTCTCCCACTATGGTGTCCAGGGCAACGCCCTGGAGTGGTTCCGACGGTACTTGTTGGGGCGTCGGCAAAGGGTCCACCATACCCTCTCCACTGCGAGAGACGACGGGAAACACGTCAATGCCTGCTTTTTTGATCTAAGCAAGGCCTTCGATCGTGTGTGGCATGCAGGCCTTCTAGCAAAACTCTCCCACTATGGTGTCCAGGGCAACGCCCTGGAGTGGTTCCGACGGTACTTGTTGGGGCGTCGGCAAAGGGTCCAGGTGGATGGCGACCTATCGCCTTTCCTCGAGATCCCTGCCGGCGTCCCTCAGGGATCTGTTCTTGGGCCGCTTCTATTCCTCCTCTACACCATAGACCTTCCACACGCATGTGAGAATCCCGGCACCACCTGTAGCCAATTTGCAGATGACACCGCTCTGATTTCCATAGCGAGAACTCTTCAAGACTGCACCCGAAACCTACAACAGAGTGTCACAGCAGCTGGAGACTGGCTTCAAAGATGGCACCTGCTGGTTAACACAAAGAAAACAGTCATCCTCCCGTTCTACCACAATAACCGCCCCCCTGAACAGCTACCCCAGATCACCCTCAGGAATAGTCCGCTTACCGTAGCACAAAAACACAAACACCTCGGAATAATCTTTCAGCATGACCTCCGTTGGACGGAGCATGTTGAATACATAGTCAAAAAATCACTCAAGTCTTTCAATATTCTTTTTAGACTAAGGTCTACACTCACCAGTGATTCTTTATCTCACATCTATCAGACATACATACTACCTATATTCTCATATGCGAGCAATGCTCTCACACCGTTGTCACACACTTCCCTTGACAGGCTAGAACGACTCCAGCGGAAAGCCGCCAGAATGTGTCTCCACCTTCCCCTTTACACACACTTAGAACACTCCCACCTTTTGCATCGCATCAAATGGCCAACATTATTTTCACGCTTTAAAGTTAAACATATACTCTTCGCGCATTCTCTGCGCCACAATTATGCCCCACCACATATACTCTCGCTGCATACTGCTAGCAACGTGCAACCTTCGTACAATTTACGTCGCTCTCGTACTTGGCACTTGCCAACTCCGCAGACTGACCGCTGTCTCCATTCTCCCCTGTACAAGGCCCTTCATTACTTTAATTGCCTGCCCGCCCAGCTTCGCGAAATCCCTTCTCGTACTCCCTTCAAATCCGAGATATCCCTGCTGTTGCACAACTCTGTATGCTCGTGTAGCGACCACCCCTGCCCGCACACTTAAGTACACAACTCTGTATGCTCGTGTGGCGACCACCCCTGCCCGTACACTTAAGTAGTCATTAACCCCTAGGCCCTGCCCACCCAATTCTTCCCCACTCTTTCTCCTTTCTCACACTATTATCTCTTATCTCTTATTGGCCACTGGCTATCGTGAGAATAAAGATTTGAAACAACAACAACAACAACAACACGGCAGAGTACAGGTACCACCTTACCTTCATTTTCATCGCCTCAATCACGACAAGTACGGTGTCTTTTTCCACCTTGTCACCGCTCTGGCATAACACCTACGAGAAAGAACCAGCAGAGGAGACAGGTAGAAGCACAGCCAGGTTGACCATAACATTGTAACAAAGTTAGGCACAGCCTACGAGAAATGAACCCTTCCCTCTCTTGTGCCGACTACATGTAACTACAGAGCAAAACACTGAAGTCGTTTGTCGAATAGCCCGTTTCGTTTTCTCCACTTGTTATCCTCTTCTCTCACATTCACTCAGCAATGTATATAGAACCTACACGGATTTTCATTCCACAAACTTCTCGCTATGTACGCTATGAATTTATCACGCTTGCATCTGCATTTAGGTACGCATTTCGCTGCTGTCTCTTTGCTTGTAAAGTCCTCGGATGAAAGTGTTCCGGAAAAGCTAAGGAGTGATTCGTTTCAACTAAACCAAGGTCCTTGCTGCTGGTGTGCTTTTCTCTCTCTTTACAGCCAACATACACATGGATTCAGTGGAAGGAGATTATAGTAAAGAAGACTACGGTTGAAACATTTTTAAGTTCTGACGATCTGATTGGGGAAGTTGGAATATGCATGCTATGACATGCTGAACGTCTCAGAGAGCAGAGAAAGCTACCCAGCACACTGCAGACACAATCACCATAGCAATCGCGATCTGCTACGCGGCCACTGTGAGGACCTGGGTAGCTGTTTTACCGTCCTAGAAAGAATACACATGTGCAGAGAAGGTGTGTAATAAGATTCGACTTTTCGGACCAGCTAGACCTTAGCAGTGACGGCACTTGAAATTTGACTACTTTGCAAGGGAAAAAGTGGACCTCTTGAAAAGTGTCATGCAGTATCACCCATCCAAGGCAAGGGCAGCAGCGAAGGATAGCGCCAGTGCAGGTTGGTTTTGTTCGTGTCGAAAAAGAAACAACCGCCCGATCTGTACAACGCGAACAGCTACACAATAGTTGCTTGTTGTGGTAGAGCAACATAATACAACGGTTTGTGGCACGGGCCCCCTCAATGGCTGAAGTACTGGTGCATACTACTGTAGATGACAGCGGCTCGCCTCTTGCCAATAAAGCACCGCATGCCAATGAAAACTAATGGAAGCATACGCAAGGCTTATCGTTTCTCAGCACTGGCCGTCGTGGAGCGATAGCAATTACCTAATTTCAGAACTCAGGGTGAACTTGACGTGGACTCCCGAAACTGTTCCTGTTTGGAGCACCAACATTTGAAACGAAAAATCGAACAACTTGGAGGCAACGGGCCAATACAAAGGAGTGGCTCAGTTCGATCGACTCTGGCCTCAGAGCAAACTTCAACATGCCAGCTTCCTTCTACAAACATATTTTTCAAGTGAACAATCCACACTGATGATCGGTTTGGGTCTACACAATTTTGCTTGTCAAACCGTTCCTATTTGAAACCCCCTCCTCTACTTGAAGTACGACCGCACAGCAATTGAATGTTCTTGGAAACTGTACGTGCTCGCATTACATTTTGGATTTTTTTCAGCAGTACATTGTAAAATTTAGGGGGTTCCATGCAGAACCCCCCCCCCCCCCCCCCCCTGCACCCGTCCCTGGGTTGACCGGGTGCAGCGCAGTTTGGGGTTGAGCGAGGTGTACTCCATGAAAAAACAGCATAATTCTTACAGCGAGTCGTGATAGAAGTTTATGTGTAGTTGCACACTCTGGGCCTCAGTCTGGGGAGCTATTTGCTCTTGCTACTAACCTTTATGACCTTTCCATTCAGCGGCGGAAACAGTACATTGCCAGAGTCTTGGAGCAAGCTAGTACTTCCAACAAAGCCGGGCTTGTAAAGTGGCACTTGAACTTCGCCGTTCTGCAAAACCAATACAGTGGAGATTGGATATAACGACACTCCTTCGAGAGAAAGCAAAATGTCGCTATATTCGATCTGTCACTAAACCCGATCTTCGCATTTAGTATGCAATAATTATGTATATCAAAATGACAGAAATGTATTGTAGATATACATGTACATGTGGATAATAATATTATAAGTAAAAGCAGACATTTTCGGTGGTGTAATATTTTCGGTATTGTCCAAAATCGGCGGCTCGGTGGAGGGAAATTTTCGGTAATACTCGCTTTCCAGTGTACTAGTACTACTGAGTAGAACGTAAAATTTTCGGTGCGTTTTATTTTCGGTAAAAATTGTTGGCACCGAAGTTACCGAAAATAAAACACCACTGAAAATTCTTTTACAGTAAAGGACACATAATTGAGTGACCCGGAGGTCCGGGCACGTGGCACAGCCATATACCATGTTCCAGGCATGCCAGACTGCCTGATACAAGAGGAAAGTCGTTATGTCCGATGTATTTTCACTGTTTTTCTTGTCTTCGGGCACCAAGAAAGTGTCAGTAAATTCGATCTGTCGTTACTTTCGAGGTCGTTATACCCGATCTATAATGTACAGAAAGGACTTGCTAAACGACTTGGGCAACAGAATTGTGTCGCTAAACTCGATTTGTCGTTATACCCAAGGTCGTTATATCCAATCTCCACTGTACATGACAGCAGGAAGACATGCGATGCCACTATGATTGATAACAATGGTAGGTTGGTGTAGACAAATAACTATAGTCCATTTCAAAAAGATTAGCAATCAGGTTTTGGTCTTAAAAAGTATGAAGATAAGGGAAATTTGGACAACAAAGTACATAGAATGGCTTGTTAGGACACGGCAAATTGTTCTGTGAAGGTTTCGGAACAATTGGACCAGCCGTTAAGGAGTTAGAATTTCGGCCAGGTTTCCGGCCTTTCCCCATGGTTTACAATTTGCCCTGGATGTCAGTATCGATATTTTATCAAAACTCACGATTTATCCTCTCCTTTTTGGTCTTGTGGTTATGAATGCTGTCTGCTGACCATGAAGTTGTGAGTTCAAATCCCAAACTATCTTCAAGTCATACTTTTTTTTCATTGTTTTGGTGATCACGCTGGTACAGAAAGTACAAGCCAAAGAAGGTGGCTGCGCCAAACGACTTGGTGTTGTTGGAGCTCGTGTTTCCTGCCGAACTTACTGACACTTGACTGGTTCACGCCATGTGAACACACCCACAACACTGAAACGGTGTGAGTGAACACGGAAGTCATTGCGCTGTAGCTACGTGTTGTTGAATACAACGCCACATCGATCGATCGATTTCTCTTTGAGAATTATTTTAGTATTTCAAGATCGCCAATTTATTTGAATTTAGGAGTCAACGCCGTCTTCTATCAGCTTTCACAGGCGTCTGCTTTTCTCAAAATGTCGTCGAAGTCACACGGATAGCTTTGCCAAGTCATGGCCTTGGAATGAGTCTGTGTCGATGTTGTTTTCGTCACATCGTGGGAGTAAATGCATCGCAGCTCAAAGAAATTGGGCACGAAACGAATTGGGACCCATCCCGCTCGTCAACATTTACCACACTTTCGACATGTCCTCTGACTCCATATCGATACGAGGAAGAACTCGTTTGTTGTAAACCAGATGTACATGTACCGACGTGAGTGAGTTGTCATTTTTCATGCTTTCGCGCGGATTATTTCTTCGAGTTCACAGTGAGTTTTTCCAGCCAACTCTCGAGCGCGCATACGGTAAGACGGCAAACTCCCCGGGCGATCGCCAGGATTGCTAATCTTTTTGAAACTGACTGTAAGGCGAAAAAGTTACCATAAACACCATGTGTATGAGTTGTGAAACACATCCACCAAAGGTGGTTTTGACCAAAGGTTCAAACAGTTTGTACACCAACAAGGAAACTAAGCGTGCCTTCACTGCTTGATGAACACATACAGGTTACATAAATTGTACATATTTCTATTATTATCGATGAGAAAGCCCATTGTCCATGGTCAAGTCCCAGACAACATATTTCTAGTTCTGCGATCAATATTCAGCAGGACCTGGTGCATCTTCACTGGCTCCGGCGTTGCCACACAGATATGATCAAAAACCTCGCAACAAGTAGTCGAACAAGTGCTCTCTGGACTGTTGCATCACTGGTGAGCAGACAATAGACATCTGAGTGGACAGGGTAAGGCGGCACACTTACCTCTGTGAATAAATGCAATGTCCCGTCATGTATTACTCCAGTCAACTTGCAGAGTTTGCCATCGACACGGGCCGACAGCAGCCAACCATGTTTCTCACCAGGCAATTTGCTCAGAACGCCACCAACATGGCAAGTGTCAGTTTCCTATTGAAGATAAGGACAAACAGGGTGGTAGCAGCAGCAACAGCAGCAGCAGCATCAGGAGGAGGAGGAGGAGGAGGAAGGGGAAAAAGAAGAGAATGAGAAGGAAAAGTTATTTACTACACAAATGTGTGTACTAGTACATTTGCATGGTGTACATGATAATGCTCATCTCATGTGACAAAATGAACACTACACATGCATGCAACCAGCACTGTACCTAATACTGTACTGTCACGTAGGGCTGCAACAAATGTTCTAAGTCGCTGATGAATCCTTCTTTTTCAAACGAACGAAGGTTCTATTACTCTACACATTTTATTGTGATTTCAGACGGATCATAGTATCACGTACAGTGCTGGTGCCCATCCATCTTGTCCGTCATCAAATCACTATGCGGAAGCTGTAGCAGATCACACGATACTACAAGCTACATGTACATGCTGCACCTACCAGCGGTGCTGCTGGACTTGCTGGCTTCTTTGCTGGCTTGGCTGCAGGCTTGGCTACCCTCTCAATATGAAGCTGGTAACCTTCACCGCCAGCTACTTCAGCACGTACGTTAACCACTGCATGGCATGAGAAGAACACGACATGAACAGGACAGTCCACAGGACACAGCAGCCAAGAATGTCATTCAATGTATGCACGCTTATACAAAATCAGCCATAAGAACCAAGTCACCGACACGTCAGCCAACCATAGCCTCTGTTTCTTACCAGTATGGTAGCAAGGTGGACACTCCAGTTCACACTACCACACAGTCAAAATCATTAGTACCGTATTTCCCCCGAATATAAGTTGCACCTTTTTACACTAAAATTCAAAGGCAAAGAAGGGGTGCGACTTACAATCGAGCATGACTTACTACTGAAGTGACTTTATCGAACCAATAGGGCTCAAACTCAAAAGTGCGGGTGCGATTTATAATCGAGTGCGACTTATAATCGGGGAAATACGGTAGTAGACTCGGATAGGATGTCCATCTAGCTTCTAGACTCGGATGGAGAGCCAAGAATTATAATTTAAAAAAGGGAAAGCGGCAGTTTGCAAGCTATCCATTGTTGTCCAACACCAATGTAACCAAGATAGTGGTTGCTGGCTTGCACATTTGAGACTTGATAGAGCTAAAATGTCAGGTCTTGAAGGCCAGTAGCACTTGTCAGTATTGTGCTAGCTGTTGCACATTCTGATCTACCAGTATCTTGGTTCTATTAGTGTTGGACAAGAACAGATAACCATTGGTCTAGCTTCTTCTATTAGTGTTGGACAAGAACAGATAACCATTGGTCTAGCTTCTTCTATTAGTGTTGGACAAGAACAGATAACCATTGGTCTAGCTTCTTCTATTAGTGTTGGACAAGAACAGATAACCATTGGTCTAGCTTCTTCTATTAGTGTTGGACAAGAACAGATAACCATTGGTCTAGCTTCTTCTATTAGGGGCCGTCCAAAGTTACCAATAGTATTTTCAAAACGAAAAGTTTTCGTTTGGGGGTGGGTGGGTTTGAAGGAGTTTCGTTTTGAAAATAATTATTAAATGCAGATGGAGAATGCCCAGTTACTTCTGCGTGTCGAAAATTGACATCAATATTTTATTTGAATTCGTTTTACCTGCAGAAAACATAGGTGGGTGGGTGGGTGCTGAAAAATACTAAAACTTTTCGTTTTGCAAAAACTATTGGTAACCCCGGACGGCCCCTTAGTGTTGGACAAGAACAGATAACCAATGGTCTAGCTTGTTCTATTAGTGTTGGACAAGAACAGATAACCATTGGTCTAGCTTCTTCAATTAGTGTTGGACAAGAACAGATAACCATTGGTCTAGCTTCTTCTATTAGTGTTGGACAAGAACAGATAATCATTGGTCTAGCTTCTTCTATTAGTGTTGGACAAGAACAGATAACCATTGGTCTAGCTTCTTCTATTAGTGTTGGACAAGAACAGATAACCATTGGTCTAGCTTCGAAGCTGCGGCAGACTTTGACAGCACATTTCTCACCGAAGAGTATGTCACTTGCGGAACGCTCTAAATGTTTGAAGTCGAAGTCAGCAGGTGAATGAGAGCTAACACGACCATGCCGCTGAGTTATCGCTACTACGTCAGGCCAAGACCTGTGATTTCAGCAACGGTCTGGAACAGGTTTAAATGGTGGCATATGGGACACTGTTGTTTGCAAAAACCACTTACCATCGATGCCCTCAATCTGAAAGCCGCTCTTAAAACTGCTGCCGCTCACGAGGTGGTCGATCGTGAGGATGCACGCTTGATGCCCATTTCTCATGTAAATGCAGCTTCACATACGTCATACAATACGGAACTGTTTCTCTGTACCTAAAATTTCTGTTCACCTAAACTAAAGGGCAATTCACAATACAACTTTCTGCGACGCGACACGCGATTTGCGACAGTTGCGACGAGAAACTGCCTGTCGCAAGCTGTCGCAAGGCACCTGTCGCAGAAGTTGAAGAAAGTTCAACTTTTGCGACATGCGACACGCGACATACACAAATGGAGCACAGTTTCGACCCTGGGTGCACGTGCAATGCACGTGCATAGTACTACTTGTGCATACGCATGTCGCAAACATGAAAACGACTGTGAACCGCGTGTCGCTGTCGCAGCTCATCACAGGTGTCGCAAGTCGCATGTCGCAAGAAGTTGTATTGTGAATCGGCCTTAACCTAATCTTTCCCATCATACCTAACATTTTGGGGATGTAAAATTTCCGAAATTAGAAGTCGCATTGTCACAAACATTGTTCCCTAGTCGCATTGTCACAAACATTGTTCCCTATTTTACGGCATACACATACAGTGAAATCTGTGTTAAGCTGATCGTTCTAAGGACATAACAAAACATGGTCCGTGCACAGGTGGCCTTATTACTGGAAGTAGCATGCCTTGGGCCTAGTTGCGGTAGTCCTCTGGGACAGGTGGTTGCCTCATCAGAGCGGTCGACTGGGCAGGTTTTACTGTGCATGTGCGTGTGCGTGCGTGCGTGTGTGTGTGCGTGCGCGCGCGCGCGTGTGTGTGTGTGTGTGTCTGTGTGCCAAGGAAAGAAACCCAGCATTGCCGGTGTACGCACAGACACCAATTATAGCTTACATGTTTCTCCATCCGCCAGACGCACATGCCGTGACCTGTCCATGTTGAGACGAGCCGCTGAATTACTCTGGAACGGAGAGAATGAATCTGCACAAAAAATGAAACAAATTAAGCCAAGGCCAAAGGGTACACTTAACCTAAGACTCGCATCAATGCTGAAAGTACCAAGTACTTATCTCATACACCTAAGTACACACAAACGGCTCTTATTTGGACACTCTAGATACAGACCATCTTCACGTCGTTCTACCAGGTTTGGGTTACTCTGGCAAAAAAGCTTCGATTTTCAGTTTTTGTTTCAATCGCGTACACGAACATGTGCATTATTGCAGTTCTACTCACTGCCAATCTATGTAATCCACCCACTTTCAATAATGCTCTTCTGTTATGCTGTACAATAAAATATCGCGACAAAGCCTTTGGCCATAAATATCACCAAAACCTGACATCATGCATGGTAAATGACTGGAGTTACGGGCAAATCTGAGCTACAGGCAGTGTCCGGTCCCAAGGCCCCCAGATAAGAGACGTTTAAGTGCATATACATCTTTTAGCTAAAGCCTACATCCACTTCACTGCTCCTCCCCCTCCCAGAGGATCTCACATGGTTCATGCATTTTTCGAGGTTAGCTTTAAAAAAAATTATAAATGACCAGTGAAAGCATAGTTGTGTATGGCGTGATCAGAATTATTATAGTAGCACCCACAGTCCGCAAATCATAGAAGTTGCACATCGTGTTACATCTCCATACCTTGAGACAGTGGATTTGTGCGGTCCTGCATCAACAGTAAGAACAGGGAAGCCTGTGCGATAGCCTCACTGTGAAGTTGAGTTGAGGAAGAGCAAAGTTTCCGACCTTGCTCCTTCACCACAAGCACAAACAAATGCAGAGCAGCCAAGTACACACGCACATTCACACGCGCGTTCGTGCACACGCGCGCGCGCACACACACACACACACACACACACACACACACACACACACACACACACATACACCATACACTGTTGTTGCAACTGGTCTGGTAGGTCCAGCAGTTGCCGGACCCAGGATGTCTCCTCAGCAGCTAGTTGAGCAATCTGGGTTTTCACGAGTCAGCATGGCATAGATGCACATATGCACCTAGTCACTAATGGAAGGTAGTAATAGGCTGCTGTACTGCGGTCAAGTCAGACCTTGAAATAGGGACTTTCCCTTGCCAGCTGCATTGAGCCAGTCAAGCATGCCTTGAGCACTGGGCAATAATGAATGGACGCCCAGGCCAAAAATGGTATATCAAACGTGAAGAAGAGTGAAATGGCTGATGAAGAAAGAATTTGCTCATGTATCCAACTATGGGGATGGTTTGAGGCGATGAAGTGTTGGATATCATACGTGACATGCATCATGCTAAATTTATGCTCTTTCTCTTCTCTTGGCAAAGAGCTTTCCAGAAAGCCCAAGATCACGGAAAAATTTGATCACTGGAACGAAAGATATACTCAGATTATGGTACGGAAATGCGCGTTGTGCAATCAAGGACTCAAACAAAGAGGACTTCCCAGTGAGTTAAGGCACAGGCACATGACGCCGTGCAGTCTGCACTTGCGATGTACGCAAGCGCAGAAACTCGCCCACTGTTGAAAACAGAAGGGGTTGGTCTGAGCATGTTCTCTCGAACCGAGTATTCCTTCACAAGCAGTATACAGTTCGTATTTTTGGTAAGAAATCGATGAAAAAAAGGCATTGCCCCCCCCCCCCCCCCCCCCCAAGAACTATGAACTGCCTCTGCTTCATTTTCTTATTTTTTTACTTCACCTACAAAAAGCCCTGTTGTTCCGTCCAGACTACCAGGGCCATGTGTGTGTGTGGGTCACTTGACAAAGGACCACCTCGTGCACATCAACTAGCAACAAGTACCTTTTTCATGATGCAATGGACCTCCACAGATCAACTATGAGCTCGGTCGTCACACTATCGCTCTCTCACTTTTCTACGGTACTGCGAAGGCCTCTTTTTAAGCATACGAGCACGTACACGTGCAAAATTGAACAATCATGAGCTGCGCATATCTAAACTGAGCATAGCAGCGATGGCCACAACTATGTGCTGCACATCATACTCCAAAAAATATCACGGTTAGCGTGAGACTGGGCTGGAGACTGAGTTTTCCGCATCCGCAGGAACGCCACCACCCTCTCTAAGGCAGGAACGCCACCACCCTCTAGGATCAAGGCGCAGATGCAGCTCGTAAGCGGTGGGAGGTGAGTTGATCAGACTCACCACAAAGTGGTCAAAGACCGAAAAATCCCATTCACTGCATCCACGCATCCTCCAAACAGACTAACAATCTATGCAACACCGTACGCACTACAAACCAACATACCGGTATGAAGTCTGTGTGGACGCGGCCAGCCGCAAACTCCTCATTACCAGCAAGTCGATCAAGGAAGCCAATGTTCGTGCTTGGTCCAACGATCTGCAAACAAGTAGGCAAAGAAGCAAACACGGTGAAACCTCTTTCCTACACAGAGATCGCCGCAACAAATACTCATCAGGTTGATCTGGGTTTAGCACAACGGAAATCTACAGCTACTCATCAAGTGCCACCGACACTGAGCCCAGTCTAGTAAATTTTGCAATCACCACCATACATGTAGGTTGATCATAATACCAGTACATGTACTTGGTCCGCGTCAGCGATATTGTCGCTTATCTTTCGACAATTTGAACTTAGACTTTGGACATCAATGCGTGCACTTGAAGTGATGCAACTTGGTACGATGGAAGGTAAGGTATAGAATGACAACTATCTATGAGGAATTTTCTGTCCAAGGAAGGGTTCATACTTTTTTCGGTCCTCCTCGTCGCTGCTCTCGGCGCTGGTGACAAACATTTTTGCTCGGGATCGACTCTCTTGCTTTTGCAAGCTCATCTCTCTTCCTCTTCCCTGCCTGGCTATTTTATAAAGAGAAGTCGATCGTGACGGTCGCCTTTTCTCTAGGACTTCGCTTGGGCAGCACGACAGCCTGTGTGGTTCAAATCAGACGCCGTTCTTTGCAAGATTTTATTTTGAACGACGACGAGGACGACGCTTACAGTACTTGCAAATCTCCACGGTGCGCTGGATACTCCGAGCGTTGAGCTGGAGGTAAGGGAGCTGCAATCTCAGCTTGACGAGCGATCCCTGAGGTGAGCGATCTCGGCCGTTCAGCAAAATGAAGCTGATTCCGAGTAGCTGATTACTTTCCTGTGGCTTGCGCTGCTCTTGCCTGCACAGCGTAACAAGATAATCTATTTTGATGCGGCGCTGTATCAATCAGAATCACCCACCCGTCGCTCTCGAAATCCACTCGAAATCTAGCTAGACCTTTCAGGTACTAGTAAACTAACTTACTAACCAAAACTGGGATGAAATGGTCTGCCAAGTGAGCATTGGCGACATATAAACAAAGTTGAAAGTTAAGCGACAATATCGCTGACGCGGACCAAGTAGTATTAGCTACAGCGCTGGTCTCTTTTTCAAGTTCCCGTTTTTCAGCCTGTTTCTTTTCAAAGGGGCCTCTCCTGGAGAATTTCCATGGATCCAAGAAAAGTCAAAAGGAATTTCCATGGACCTCGTGGAAGCTTACCACAATAGCCTCGGATCTACAACAACAACAGAATACCAAAAGGGAGAACAAAATGGCCATGGGTGCTCCAAATCCCAGTGTGATTTACAAAAGCCACACAATTCCAAACACGACGTACATGCACCCATACTCCTGTTGACAAAGTGAAGTGCATAACCTAGGTCTGGCGGCTGTCTTCAAAGAACAGCACAGTATTGCAGCTCACATGATATCGGCGCAAGGATTGGCGCAGCTTCTCCAAAGCAGCTAGACGATCAGGCGCCCAGACGACCAGCTTGGCAATCATTGGATCATAAAACGTGAGGACGTCATCACCTGGACACAAACACACGCACACACACGGACACACACAGACATGCACAAACACAAACACACAGACACGCATACGTGGGCGCACATGTGCAGTTCATACACCAGATAGGCAGAGACAGAGAGAATCAGGGCTGCAACGGGTAGGGGTTTGGTCGGGTAATGGGTTCGGGTATTTTTATCCGGGTAGCACGGGTACCCATTGGGTATTTTTTGACACAGTTTGTACTGTGAGTGTGCACTTGCGCTACATAGCAAGTGTACAGTAAGCACGTAGCCGTGCTTTTTACATGCACCGTTGCAAAAACACCGTACTCCAACTACCCAATCGGGTTCTCAGGAGCAAATTGCTACCCTACTACCTGATCAAATTACGGGTAGCACGGGTACCCTACTACTCGTTGACACCCCTAGAGAGAAGGGAAAATGGAAAAGGCTGTAGTAATAATAATAAAAGTGAAGAGAAGCAGGAAAAGGCGGCATCAAGTGCAAATCGAGCGAAGCAGGTATGCATTGGCATGCTGTCACAACTCTTAGCCTTTCTCACGCACCTTGCACAACTCCAGTGTCTACACGAACGTCACTGCTTGTCTCTGGTGGTGAGATGTAGAATAGATTCCCAGAACTTGGCATGAAAGTAGGACTGAAAAGCAAAACCAGAATCAAGCCAATAATAACTTATTAATAAGTGAAAGGGATCAATTTGAAACTCGGATGTTGAGCCAATAATAAATGTAGAAAGGAAAAGGATATATGGATACGAGTTAAGAGTAACTGTCCACCACTTCGACTGTCGAATGTCTCAGTACTCTGTCAGTTTTGTACCTAGTTGTTGCACTTCTGACTGTATATAGTATCTAGTTACAGTGGTGGACAGTTACTCTTAACTCGTATCCATATTATCCTTTTCCTTTCTACAATAAGTGATCACATAATGATAAAAATAAAGTCCACTCAACGTACTGTTACGTACATGTCCTGGAGCTGAAATGTCCAGTGACATCACAGCAAGAGCATCCAATAGGATCAATACCCCCACTCTCTCTCACCCATGTGAAAGATCCACACCACTATGAAAGATCCACACCACTGTGAAAGATCCACACCACCGTGAAAGATCCACATCGCTGTGAAAGATCAACATCGCTGTGAAAGATCCACATCGCTGTGAAAGATCCACATCGCTGTGAAAGATCCACATCGCTGTGAAAGATCCACATCGCTGTGAAAGATCCACATCGCTGTGAAAGATCCACATCGCTGTGAAAGATCCACACCACTGTGAAAGATCCACACCACTGTAAAAGATCCACACCACTGTGACAGATCCACACCACTGTGAAAGATCCACACCACAGTGAAAGATCCACACCACTATGAAAGATCCACACCACTATGAAAGATCCACACCACAATGAAAGATCCACACCACTGTGAAAGATTCACATCGCTGTGACAGATCCACACCACAGTGAAAGATCCACACCACTATGAAAGATCCACACCACTATGAAAGATCCACACCACTGTGAAAGATCCACACCACTGTGAAAGATCCACACCACTGTGAAAGATCCACACCACTGTGAAAGATCCCCACCACTGTGAAAGATCCCCACCACTGTGAAAGATCCACATCACTGTGAAAGATCCACACCACTGTGAAAGATCCACACCACTGTGAAAGATCCACACCACTGTGAAAGATCCCCATCACTGTGAAAGATCCCCATCACTGTGAAAGATCCACACCACTGTGAAAGATCCCCATCACTGTGAAAGATCCCCATCACTGTGAAAGATCCCCATCACTGTGAAAGATCCCCATCACTGTGAAAGATCCCCATCACTGTGAAAGATCCCCATCACTGTGAAAGATCCCCATCACTGTGAAAGATCCCCATCACTGTGAAAGATCCCCATCACTGTGAAAGATCCCCATCACTGTGAAAGATCCACATCACTGTGAAAGATCCACATCTTTGAGTAACAGTTACACCCATACCAAGGCATGTGCATGTACAACACTGGCGATGCTGTAATTAGTGATTTAAAAAAAGCATTACTATTCAACTGGGATGGTTGAAAAGAACAAAGGTGGCAACTGGAGACACCAAGCTGGGCATTGCCCACGCCACTTTACACCTTTGTCCAGTGCAAACGCCTGATCATGCACGACAACCTTCAGAACAAATTGCTATTGAAATTAGGGCAAAGACGACGCAAAGACAAGGCAAGACGCGACTAACCCATCCGGCCCGTCTCCCGTCTTCTCCGCATAGACACGGGCCTCAAACGCATGGCCGTGCAGTCGGATATCAGACTGCTGCAAGGCCAGCGGCTCACCGGCTGCCACCTGCATGGGGACAAAAAGAATAAAAAGACGTATGCCATAGTTGATCAGAATTGCGCTCCAAGACGTGCTACAGCCGGTTGGCAGTGAGGTGTAGAACGTCAGTACAGTCGGTCAGTGTCGTGCAATGTTACCGTGCAAAGCTATCGCATCAGCTGATTGTCAAGTAACTGGTGGTGTTTTAAGAACTCAGATGGTGAGCCAAATTGTTACATGGAAAAATGTTTAGTTGGTAGACTCTATAACGTGTGCCCACATTTTTCCATGTTACAACTGGCAGTGTTAGTGGACATTACAGCGTACCTGTAGTTCATTGGTTCTTTTTCTTTCCTATAAATTAACCTTTAGCTCTCCATCCGAGTCTATTTAATCAGAAGAGCTCAGTTTCAAGTTGCCTTCTTCCGGACAATCCTGGGCATTAGCTGATGACCGGAAACAGCGCATGTTGCACACAAACATTTAGTATGACCACGCGGCAAGTTACTGTGTCCACTAACTCTGCCCAGGGTTCGGGAAACGTACTCTAATTTTCCTCGTATATGGACCTATCCAGCCAAAAAGTAACATCTCGGCACAGGGTATATGTACATGTGGTAGCAAGAGTGCATAAACCAGAGTGTGCAACTCGGGATGGTTCCTGTGGGAGCGTAATTCGTGCAGTATGTCATTTCTGATGGCATGGTAAGCCACAGGTACGGTGAAAAGTTGCGTAACCAGTCACAGTGGTGCAGGTCACTAAGTTTGTCCTGATTTCGGTTTTTTGACACGGATAGTATGGTGAATTTACTTGCCAGCGCATGTACACAGCGTAGGCAGTCACACAAAAACACAGAAATCCTGAAACAGGACGTCTAAATCATACAAACTTGGCTGATTTCCGGACTGTGAAACACGAAAATTTGAGCTGTACGCAAGTCGCAGCTTGGCTGACCTCATCAGGGTGACATAGTGCACGAACTGCGCTGTTTCAGATCTGATATGCACAGTTGCACACTCTGGTTTATGTACTCTTGGTGGTACGCATTCACCATTCAGGTGTTTCCTGTATGATCTGTCTACACAGTGACACATACACTTTTAGGGCGCTGACCCTGGTCATTGCACTAGATTTCATTGTCCACAACTGTTGTAGTTTGTCAGTGCGAGTCACCTCACGGAGTGATGGCTTCGAAGGAAGCTGCTTCTCCTCCTCCTCGCAAGAGACCGAAGAGGCGTTGCCCGTGTTCTTCCTCTTGGTTGTCTCTTGGTTGTCTCAGATTGAAGCGGAAGTGAGATGTGAGAAGAAGAAACTTCCCAGTAGTGTATTTTCTTGCAAGGATGGTGACAAGAAAGCATTGTGTAAAATGTGCAAAGTCTCCTGAAAAGTCACGTATGGTACTGTTGGCGTTGTTCATAAACAAATCCGGACCGACAATCACAGTTTGGCCACAAAATCGTCCCAGACGTCAGTATGATTGCAAGCCTTTCGCTTTGGTGACAATTCCCAGGCTAGAAAAGCCAGAGAGAAGCGTGAGGAGCAGCATAGGAGAGTTCTGACTGCCCAAGGCACAGGTCGTTCACTTTGTTGCCGAGTACAATCTACTCTTCTTTCTTTTCCACTGCTGGGACCATTTTACAAAGCTCGTCAAATCAACGTTACTATATTCAGAAATTGCACAGCAGTTCCTGTGTTCTCAGATGAAGACAATGGTGCTGGTCAGATACGGAAATAGCAAGCACTGCCAAGACCTGCTGCTAGGAACGCTAAATGGCGATGAAATCCATCCAAAACATCAACAACACCTGCTTATACATCTTTTCGCCCTTCCCGCCAGCAATGTGCACAATGAGAGATGCTTCTCCTGTGTGAGAAAGATTGACTCTGCAGATCATAGCCACCTGGAGTGCAAGACCGTTGCATCCTAGCTTGCACTCAAGCTTAATATCGACGATGAGTGGTACAGCTTCACACCGGCAAAGTCACTCCCGGACATCAACAAGTCGGCCGGCCGCAGATACAACGAGGAGCATGGCGCATGCCACACCGAGAAAAGCCAACCAGAATTGATTTGAATTACAGTGAGCTGTTCTTGTAAATACTGCCAAGCTTTGCTGACAGCTGTACATACGTGTAATTTAGTCACGAGTGGACTGCATAAGATGAGGACTTGGGTACTTCAAAGTTCAAACTCTCTTCACATTCCTTAGCCTATGCTAGCTGAGACATTTACGGCAGTTGTAATTTGTGCAATAGACAGCTTGTAAGATTGTACATGTGTTGGTAATGCAACATAATGACTACAGCCCACTTATTAAGGAGGTTTCGCTCCGCATAATCACAAAACCTCAAATATTGACCCTAAGCACCCTTTTCATGTGCTCTGCACCATATACACATTGCACATTTGGCAGCTCGGAGTTAGCTATGCACGTGCACATACATACCTTCAGTTGCCACTCCACGAGATCAGTGCGAGTAACCATCTCCGTAACTGGATGCTCCACTTGCAGACGAGTGTTCATCTCCATGAAGTAGAATTTCTTGTCAGCATCCATCAGGAACTCCACAGTGCCTACACAAAGACATCACCAGACAGACGGCCAACACATGCACACAAGTATACACATGCACACAAGCATGAACCACATCCAGATCCTTTCAAAATCATGCCACATCTATTGACTGAGGCCCACTACACACAAAGCAGCAGGTGCTTGTATTAAAAAAAAAACCTCTATAGTTTATCACAATGAGTGCTGGATATGGAAAAGAGACATGCGAATCTACTCTGCACTGTATGCATGTCACATGTGAACCTCGTTTATGCTGTTGCTTGATCTGTGTACACCACAAATTAATGTGTACAGTCAGTCACAACAGACTTCGGCAAAAAGTACTTCCTGCATAGGATGTACTATTTCAGTAGCCCTGCGAAGGGATAGCCTCTGATAACACAAGCTTTTTGTTCTTCCATGAGTTCATCTACCTATCAAATGGCTGTGAAGATGACAGCTCTCAAGCTGGGAGGAACTGAGGTGTGAGTGGAGCGGTGACCGACTCCATCGCTAAACCGTGGGTATAAAGCACGAACCCCGAGCAGAAGCGAGAGTTCTGCGGGGTCACTGTCGCCGCGACGTCCCTGCACCAAGCGCTCCCCGATATCGCCAGGTTTTCGTCATGGATGCGTCTGGTTCGCACCACAGCCTGGGTGACTTGCTTCGTTGAGTGCCTGAAGGCTAGCGTCGCCAAGAAACCTGTGAATCCTAGTAGCGAACTGTTGCCATCGGAGTTCCGACACGCCCAGCAGCTCTGGTGGGAGAACGTACAGCAACAGTCGTTCCCTGAAGAACTCGCCGCGCTGCAGCAGGGCAAGCCAGTCACCTGCAGCAGCCGCCTGGCATCGCTGACGCTGAGCCTATTGGACAGCACCATAGTAGTTCACGGGAGAACAGACAACACCCCTCACCTGCCTGAGTCTACCTAGCGTCCTGTGTTACTCGACCCTGACCACCGCTACACCCGATTACTCATCCTGCAGCACCACGTCTGGGCAGGTCATCAAGGGCAGGAACAAGTTCGGAACGATTTACGCCAGCAGTACTGGATTCCAAGAGCTCGAGCCGCTGTCCACCGTGCCTGGAACTCCTGTTTGAGGTGCCGTCACCTCGCAGCCACACCGCAGCCCCCGGTGATGGCGCCGCTACCAGAGTGCAGAACCGCAGCATACGAGCGCCCGTTCTCCCATACGGGAGTTGACTTTTTTGGTCCAATTGTGGTGACTGTCGGGCGTCGACGCGAGAAACGATATGGCGTCCTATTCACGTGTTTGACAGTTCGAGCCGTGCACCTGGAAATAGCCTCAAGCCTGACAACCGACTCGTATATCATGGCGATCCGCCGCATGATCGCTCGGCGCAGATACCCTGCTGTACTGTATTCGGACAATGGGACGAATTTCAAAGGAGCTGAACATGAGCTCGCAGAGGCGATTGCAGCTCTGGATGTCAGTGACCTCCAAGTGGGTCTTCAACCCTCCTGCCGCGCCCCACATGGGTGGCGCTTGGGAGCGCTTAGTGCGCTCAGTAAAGATCGCCCTGAAAGCGACTCTCAATGAACGGACGCCACGTGACGAGGTGCTGACCACCGTCATGGCCGAGGCAGGGTGCATCCTGAATGGCCGGCCACTGACGCACGTTTCTGTAGATTACGCTGATGCTGAGAGTCTGACGCTGAATCACTTCCTGCTCGGCGGCAACCACCGAGCTGTTGCGCCAGGAAAGTTTGACGAGAAGTGCCTGAGGAAGCAGTGGCGAATTTCCCAGGCCATAATTGATATGTTCTGGCAGCGCTGGGTCCGAGAGTATCTCCCCACACTAACGCGCCGGCCCAAGTGGTTCAAGGCGGCAGGGCCGATCAAGGTTAACGACGTTGTCGTCATTGCAGATCCACAGTTGGCCCGAAGCTGCTGGCCGAAGGGCATCGTGGAGAATGTGTACCCTGGCAAGGACAGCAAGATCCGCATTGTGGACGTCCGCACAGCAATGGGAACGTTCCGTCGCCCAATGTCGCGTATCTGCATGCTTGATGTCCGTGGATAAGTCATGTGCTGGCTAACTGCATCAGTTAGCAGGTGGGAGAATGTCGTCACCACTCGCCTGTTCTGTAAATGTTTCAAGACAGCCTCTTGAATGATTCTCGTTTTGACCTTACCTTGTCTGTTTATTTATTTATTTTCCTCTGAGTCACGTTGGTGTGAATGCGCACGTGGAGATGCTCCAGTCTACAGCCATGTCGTCTGTCCTGTTATTATGAGTATCCATGCTATTGTTCTACTGACACTGATAATTCTCTCCTTCTGTCTAATCGCGTTCTTCTCTGCTTCTTCGTCTCTCTTCTGTTCTGTTTCCGCTTCGGACGTGTAGTTGTTTGAGCTGCTCTCATGATCATTTATTTGTATTTTTGAAAATCCTTTGTACCCGCGATCATGCGCTTGTAGAGCTGCGCTATGCTGTATGATTGTGCTATGACTATGAGTATGACTATGAGTCATGCTCGCACTATGATGCCGTTTGTGTCACGTGTACGTGTATGTCGTGGCGCAAGCGCGCTGTACCTTTGCTGGCCCTTTTTTGCTTCCTTTTGCAGTTTTGGTTTTCGAGTTATGCCGGTTATGGTTGAAGTGTGTTTGCAAGGAGAAATCCAGAGCGTCTAGTAATGGTGTGTTGTCACATTTGCGTTCGGAGAGTGTGCCTGTGCACGTGTATCGGATTTGAATTCTTGCCTGTAACAATGGGGTACCCTCAAAAACATTGTCCGTACCCCAGACACTAAGTACTTTTGCCACTCTCCACAGGACACATTAGGCCATCATTTTTTATAGCTATGTTTCGCGTCGTCCGCACGCATACGTTTTGATTTTTTTCGGAAAAAAATAAAAAAATCGAACATGCACAGTGAGTGTACGATCGTGCGAGTCATCAGTGTGGACTGGTTGAATACGGCGAAGCTGGGATTCAGAAATGGCCTCTAGGCCAGCGTTGGTAAATCGTTTGTTCGGCATCTGGGAGCAATATTCTATGAGCTTACACCAGACCGCATTGATCGTCTCAAGCTGAGACGATGCGTCGTTCCGGAGCTCTTTACACCGCTGCTGAAGTCTAAGTACAAAAATCCAGCGAAGCATAGGCACCAATGGTTGCCTCCTCTGTCCAAAATGAATATTTACTCATGCTGATAACCCAGATGTTGTGCTTCGATGTACGATTTTTCTTTCAAATGTACACCATGCACGAGCTATTGTGCTATGTACAGTGCATACACCTCTGATGAGCCTTTTTATTATTTTGCAATTTTTTATTTTTTTCCACCTCTCGCATATGATTCTGGAAGTTGAACTGACGCGAAACATAGATATAAAAAATGATGGCCTTATATGAATATCATGGTTTCACTGAACTCATTTTTGCATGTGAAGGATTCGCTTGTTGTATCCTTTTGTGGACAAAGGCAGATACTTTTAACGCACTCTCCTTTTCCTTTCTGTTGCCTCCGTAGTTCCTTCACTCGTCACAATGCCCTTTCTAAACGAGAGAGCTTGGAAGCTCAGGGCCCTACGCTATGCTTTTATGCTTTTTTGCCTAGCTCATCGTACATGTTATAAGAACTGATGGAATTGTCTTTTTCCGTTTATTGGCGTATTGCAAAAACGTTTCAATCGGTTTGAATATTATGAGTTAGGCAAAAGTATTTGCAGAATTTATTGCGGATTGTTGTTTCTCTAATAATCATCTACTTTTGTTTTGCTCCTTCTTTAATTTCTATCTCCTTATATTGTAAATCAACAAATTTTGGCCGATGAGAAAATCAGAAACCTCTCGATTAGAGAGGTTAAGATGCACGTTATTTCCGACGTGACGCGCAGTTTCACGTCAAATTTGAAATCGATCGGTATTTTTGCTCTCACATGCATCCATTGCTCAATAATGCATCTATTTCCTATATGACAAACTTTGGCCTGTGATTTACTTTGGCCGGTTGGTACCAAGCGGCGAAATCAGCGAAATGAAATCGCCAGCGAACATTAGTTGATTTTAATACAGGAATCGGATTTTCTGGCCTTTTTGTAGTAATACATCTACATTGACCTGTTGAGCCAATGACGACGCCGAATGCATGGTTGCCTGTGGAGCACATTACATAACTTTACAGTCTCCTAAAATACGTATCCTGTCCGACGGCAAAAGAGGCTGCAGATTTAGTTTTTCTGCGCGTCGACGGGATGTCTGCGACGCGAAAGTTCAGCTCGCCAGCTCGCGTTATTTGGCTCGCACGTCGAAAAAATCAACGCGAGTGACCTGCTGCTCACGTGGAAATTTGGACATTACATAACTTTACAGTCTCCTATATAAATACGTATCCTGTTCGACGGCAAAAGAGGCTGCAGATTTAGTTTTTCTGCGCGTCGACGGGATGTCTGTCCTGACGTTTACTGGGACCGGCGCTGACTCTGCCGATCACGGGCGTTCTGGACTCGACGGGATGTCTGTCCTGACGTTTCCTGGGACCGGCTTAGACTCTGCCGATCACGGGCGTTCTGGACTCAACGGGATGTCTGTCCTGACGTTGCCTGGTACCGCCGGACTCTACCGATCACGGGCGTTCTGGAGTCGACGGGATCTCTCTTCCGACGTTTCCTGTGACCGGCACTGAATCGCCCGTTCATGCTTTGTTTGGAGACGACGGGATCTCTCTTCCAAAGTATGTTTATGCTGACGCATCCTATCACCTAATCGGCGTCTATTCTAATTTAATTTCCTCCTCGTCTACCTATTTCATTCCAAATCCCACTCTACATCAGGGAGTCGTATGCATAATACAAGGAATATTGGTACGGTACGGGACAGATACAGGAGCCCGCAAATATTGTGGACAGCTGTTATGTACAATCCTGTAGAGCCTTTGTAGTCACAGATACGGGACAGATACGGGACAGATACGGGACAGATACGGGATAGCGCCAGGCGTGACACAAACAAACAAACAAACAAACACACAAACAAACAAATACCAAATTAAAGCTGTGTGGACCCTGGCTAGCGCCAGACGTTACTGAAGTAACGTCTTCTGCATAGCTACGGGAATAAACCTAAATAATAGTCTTCATCTTTGGACGGATATCCCTACACCTGGAGAGAGAGAGAGAGAGAGAGAGAGAGAGAGAGAGAGAGAGAGAGAGGAGAGATTTTAACAGCCACAAATTCAAATTGCAAACATCACACATACCTGCTCCCACGTATCCAACAGCCTTTGCAGCACGAACAGCTGCCTCCCCAATCTGTCTGCGATCTTCATCCGTCAAGTCAGGCTACAGTAGTACAAACAAGGCACGCCATACGTTTAAAATACTGCATTGGTCACTTTACGTAAAGGAACATTACCATAAATCAGACTTGCAAGTGCAAGCTGGGAGTCCATTATACAAAAGAGCTCTGTACTCAGTCAATAGAACCAAAACAGCACTAAAAGACATTGAAAAGAACTACCGGAAAAAGGACTTGATCAAGTAAGAATGGTGCGAGAAGACAAAGACAGGAACGCTTACAGCAGGAGACTCTTCTATGATCTTCTGATGACGTCGCTGGACACTGCAATCACGCTCGAACAGGTAGACAGTGTTGCCGTGGGTGTCTGCAAACACCTGAACTTCCACATGCCTGCAGAGTTAGAAGCAAAACACAAATACACATGGAAAGAGTGAGATAAACGCATCCGCAGTAACAACACAACACATGTGCATGCACAGGTGAAGTCTGGTCTCAGCGAACCAAACATAACACTGGCTCATTGCAGACTTTGAAAGTATCGTAAAGTACCACGAGAGCGCCCCGTCTCGCGAGAGCGCCCCGCCATTTTACAGCCAAGGGAAGGGAAATCGTATGGCAGAGTGCTACTAAGTTTGTATGGTGTGAGAACCTTAGTGTACTAAGGTCACACTTGGCATGTTTTTGTGTGGGGCTTGTTGTGTTCGCCTGGAGCCACGCAGGAGTCCATTGCGGGACAAGACAAAGACTCCTTTCTTTACAACGAGCATGCATTATTATAGATGAGAGAGAGACAATACGGAGAGGGACAATACGGCGACAAACACTATACACAACAGGGCTCGCATTCGCTCGAAGCTAAACTGAGTACAGATGGACTGCACAATAAGCAATGTGTGTGCAAGGTTCGTGTCGTATGACCTACAGACAGGACACCACCTCCACAAGACGGCCACGGAAGGACGAGATGGTGGGGCGCTCTCGCGGTACTTTACGGTACATGTACATAGCCTCTGAAACCAGGGCAACCCTTGCACAGTACACACACTAGGCAACCCTTGCACAGTACACACACTCGGAACCAAAGAAGTGGTCTTACAGACCAGGTGCTTGCTGAAGCTAGGTGGTCACTGGACTGGGCTTCACCTGCACATTTACCAGAACAGCATGTGAATGAGATGCGTTTGGCGAGCATGCATGGAGCATGTGTGCGTGTGGACGTTTGTGCAGTAAAGAATACAAATCGAACTTGATCAGTGCCTCTTTTTGTCTGCGAATCATCATAGGAGGTTCCTTCTCACAAAGAGTTCTAATAAGCAAATCCCTGCCTGCCCATGAGCCTACCTTGTCCGTTCTACATACTGCTCCATGATCATTCGGTCATCGTTGAAAGCACTCATCGCCTCGTCTTTTGCCTGCTGCAGCTGCCACTCAAAGTCGTCATCACTGCGAGCTATTCGCATTCCCTGTGCGGTGAAACACATCAGCATGTGCAAGACAGCGACTGAGCGTACATGGGGTTAGCTTTAACAACTCATACCTCCAAACTGTACTGTACACATGGATCACAACATTCCCAAAGAGAAACGGCAAAGAAAAACAGCAATTGACTGCACCACTCTCTGATCTTGCTGGCACACTCTGTTTACAATTAGAATTCAACAAGCCAGACACTTCGCCATCTTTCCAGTTCACACCACATGTGTGTAAATTTTAAAAACATCTGATGTGGCAAAGCACAGCCTGGCACGCAATCAAGGGCTGACCTTCGCATGTGTAGCTAGACCTACAGCAGAACATTCCAACATGGGAGCTTCGATTCAACTCTGCTTCCTTTTCAGATGAACTTTAAAAAACATCAGCACAGTCTACATCGAGAACGATGCATTTTGCAGTCGTTGAAGCCAGACACCATGGCAGCACAATATTGAATTCTCCAACTATATGGTCATTTCTTTTGTTCACTTCGCTTATGCGAAGACTAGCCATGCTTGCTTTAACTCGGATGGTGAGCCAAATCAGCCAATAATATTCATGTAGTAGAGGAAAGATCAATATGTTGCGAGTTTTGTTTTCTTTCGCCCACTCGCTTCGATTGGCATAGACATTGGGACGAAAACGCACTTTTCCACAATGAGGTCTAAATGAGACAGAATAATAGTATGTGTCTGCAAGCTGAATCTCACTTTTCCACCGCCACCCATGACAGCCTTCAACATGACTGGATATCTGTGTAAGAGAAATATACACACACACACACACACACACACACACACGCATGCACACACACACACATGCATGCACACACGCATGCATTCACACTCACACCCACCCACACACACACACGTGCGCACACACGCACACACACACACACACGCACACACACACACACACACACACACACACACACACACCGAAGACGATGATAGCAGTGCTAGAGTAGAAGCCATAGCGATTTGTGCCTGGTATTATACAACATTTGACACTTTCAAGGCTGAAGAATTGGACCACCAATACCATGAATACTGAGCAGACTTTAATAGGTTTTCAAATTTCCGTAAGCTACGGTTATTACGATTCAAAGAATTACTTCGCTCCGAAAATCTATCACCATGTCTCATCGTGGAAATAGAGGTGGAAGAGGTACGGCTAGAAGCTTTGAGTCCCCGGCAGCTACAGCAGCTCTAAGCGCTACTGGATGTGTCCACACACCCGCACTATATGTTTGGTGCCGACTTATCATCAATATCAGAGGTGTCTGAGACTATGCATCGAGCAATGAGTTGGCTAAGCGGATTCCATCATCCGTGACATATCTCAACATTTTCTGGTCGGTAATGTACCGCTTTTCAGCAATTCAACGATCTAAAGGTACATTTCAGGACGTCGACATTAAAGATTTTATGTCAATGTACGAGGCGCAGGCTCGCCCGATACCGTCCAATGTTGCTACCGTCATTGGCCTCATTGGTGAATTTACTACACCCAATGGCGTGCACATGGTCCCCGCGATTGCTCATCCGACCAACCAGAACGCTAACCGCGATTTTGGAAATATCGCTATAGCAAACCGGGCTCACTATGCCGTAACGCCCACGGCCACTATCGCGCTCGAACGAGTGTATGAGGAGCTGAATCCTCCTGTGCCTTTCACTCCGCACTGGAACTCAGCGTTAACGGCTGTGAACCATCACATCAACCGAAATTGTGTCGGCTATATGCCAAGAGCACCTATTCGGGAATTCACACGCGCCGACCTCAACTCGTTACTCGGCGACCCCCAGAACGTAGCAGGCATTCCTGCAACTACACGTTATGGATGGGTCCCTGAACTTGCAGCTGCGTGGACCGACGCACTTCTCACCACCAACGTCACTACAACTGACATGAGAAGTTTGCCACTAACAGGTCATGTTTCAACGTGTATTGAACTTATGCACGTAGAAGACCTGAATGTTGCTGTACCCCAAGCTGGTAGGAACCTCTCAGCTGCGGTACGAATGAGGAAAGAGAAGAAGGACATGGTGTCTGCGCTTCACACACGCACCTCCCCCCCCCCCACGCGCACACACACACATAACCATTCCACTTGACATACCCAATTTGCTGTGCCTGTTCACGCAGAAAGCTGACACTCTGCTCCTGACCATGGTAGCCTTTAATGATAGGAACACCGGCTTCATCCATGATCTTTTTTGACAGGCTGTAGAAGACCACACAATGCACAAGAGCAACCAAGGACGACAATACATCATATTGAGAAGAAAAAAAGGTACATTCACAAAGCAAAAATGCAAGCACGCATGCATGCACCTTTTGACTTTCGACGTCCATCGCCAGAGGCGATGATAGCGATGCTACAGCAGAAGCCATAGCAACTTGTGCTGGGATAGTACCATTAAACAGCTTGCAAGGCTGAAGAATTGACCGCCACTATTCAGCCTGGTCTACACCACACAGCTATTAGAAGTGGCTTTTTCTGGCCAGTGAGTCCCTACCTTTTGGTCTATTTTCATTTTTCCCACACACACATCACACCACATACTCTGGCATGCACTGGCTGTTGGTAACCACCCAGGTGAATGAAAGAAAAGTCAGGAGTAGTCTGAGAAAGAGAAGAGAGGCGCGCGTGACCATAATCGTCGGGAATCAAACCCGCAACGACTCGATTGGAAATTGACTGCACATACCACTGCACCACAGGGGACACACATATACAGTTAAGTAACAGCTACACAGCCTTTCGCCTCCCGTGCATGTGCAGTAAAAGAGACAAACAAGTAAAATAAGAGTACACGCGACAGCACCCATTGTGCAGATCAATGCCTTGCTAAAACAATACAAGCAAGATAATACAGTGCTGCTCAATGAAATTCAGTCACAGCACTCAAGTACACGCCGGGCATTGCGCAGCCCTAGACCCGTTAACACTGGGCTGCAAAATGGTGCACGGCGCGAACTTGAGACGCGACTGGATTTCATTGAGCAGCACTGTAGTACATGTACAAGTACTCACTCCTTCAGACCCATCTGCTGGATGGCCGTGGGCGGTGGTCCCACAAACACAATCCCTTCATCTGTGCACCGCTTGGCAAAGGTAGAGTTTTCGGAGAGGAACCCGTAGCCGGGATGGATTGCCTGGGAAGAGGAGAGGAAGAGACATAAAGAGACGTGGATATATGTAAACATCTACTTCGAGTAAATCCCTATGGCCAACACTCGCAGCAGGGGTGAAGAAGAAGAAGAAGAAGAGGCAGATGCACCAAAGCCACGCTGCCTCACTAACCCTATGCAGACTGGGACAACAGAAAGAGAAAAAGAGAGGCACGAATAGTCGAATACACAAAACGCCTGACCTGTGGAGACAATTTACTCGTACAAAGGGAGCCATGTGCTTACCTGTGCGCCAGTTCGCTTAGCAACGTCAAGTATGGCCTGCATATTGAGATAGCTCTCATCAGAGGCAGCCGGGCCAATGCAGTATGCTTCATCGGCCTGTAGCATACGACAGCAGTAGTACAGAAATTTCAACAATTCTATTAAAACACCACATGTAAACAGTAGTAGTTGACCTTCCATCTTACCACAAGAGCTACAAGATTTTTTTAAAGACACTAGCATAAACTGGATTAAAACACACACATCACTACCCACCGTGCGGACATGCAAGGAGTCTCCATCAGGCTCGCTATAGACGGCCACGGTCTTCACTCCAAGGCGCTTGGCAGTGCGGATGACACGGCACGCGATCTCACCGCGGTTTGCCACGAGAAGCTTGCGAAACATTCTGGACACGATACAGATGACAAGCAGCAACACAGTGCACATACAGGGCTTTAAGTAACGACACATTGTAAAAAGCAACTTTCCTGGAAATGTAAATGCAATCACACTGAAGAAAAGAACACGCTTCGGGCTCCTCACAAGCAACAGCTCTACATGTATGACAGTTTTCCGGAAGCACTTTTTATGCCTTTTCATCAGATGGAATACAGAAAACGAAACTGAACAAGCACAGTGGATGTTATATAGCAGAGAATGAGAAATGCGTAGCCTCATACACACCGAAGGAATGACAAAAAGGTGAAAGTGCGAATAATTCCAACAAGCGTAACAACTATAGACAACAAATGGGCTAAACTAATGAGCTGTGGATGACCTACCGAACAGCCGAAGTGTCATATTACGGTATATTTGTTTCTGTTTGCAGAAGTTACGCTTCCTAGTGTGAATATAAACAGTTTCTAAAGCCTTCAATAGTTTAGCACTGTGTGCACGTGACAAAATGCAAACACAATCATCTGAATGCCCAGCAAATACACAATAAGCAATGGATGACTTATACTAATCTTTGCACTTCGGCTGTTTGGTAGGTCGTCAGCAACTCATTAGTTTTGTCCATTTGTGACCTATTGTTGTCGCACGCGTGTTGGTTTCTTCACACTGGCACTTTTCTGTCATTCCTTCTATGTGCATGAGGCTACGCATTTTACTGAGTTCTTTCCGCCTACTCTTCTTTCTGCTGCATACAATTCATGGTGCCTGCTCAATGTCTTTTTTTCGCTTGTATTTCACCTGAAGAAAAGGCAGCCAAAGTACTTGTGAATTTTTAGGAAAAACATTCCTTGCGAGGAGCCTGCAGCTTGTACTTGTTCTTGGCAGGCGCGTACGCAGGGTCACCTCTGGGGGGGGGGGGGTTCCAACCGAGTCGCAAACACTCGTTTTAACCCTTTCTAAAGAGCCCTAGGAAATTTTCAAAATTATGCATTTTTCGTGTTGTTGTTGTAGTTGTAGAAGTTTATTTGTGTTCTTTGGATAATAACTTCAGTTCTACTCACTCAATCTTCATTATGTTGGGCTTCCTGGAAGTGGAAAGGTACCAGGGAGAGAATGAGGTTGACCATGATAGCCAGGACATGTACATATCCAGCGCTATAATGCATAGCGGTAGAGTGCAGCAACGGCGTTAAAAAATGCCCCAAACTCGGCCAAAGGCCCAAACGCGTCCTGCTCCAGCGATTTTGTTTTTCTTGACCGCAGAGTTTCGATTTTTTGCTGTGTACTCTTGCCTCTGCAAATTTGAGGAAGTCAGCGTGACGAAAAGTCTCAAATTCTCGATACTCGAGTCGCACTGCGCGCTTTTGAAATTGCGAGATCGCGGCTCAATTTACGAACGATTTATCTCAAGAGACATTGCTCGAAGCGCGTCGCAAATTGTTTCAACCGACAGCTGAGAGTTTTCTATTCGACCTGGATATTTGAATCGTTGGATGTGAGCGAGATTTGACTGAGTTACGATCTGTTGAAGTTTTGCATTCTTGCCAGATCGATCATGCGCCCTCCCAAAATATGCCCAAAACGTTGCTCGTTTGGAACATTCGGGGCGTTTCCGGGCAACGGGACCCCCCCCCCCTGCGTATGCGCCTGCTTGGGCATTAAAAAAAGTAGTGGTCCCTTTACATTTCACTCTAGTGGTCATGAGCTCAACTGTGTGGGGTTTTACCGTCGCATTGTGGAGCTCCAGACTTCAGTATAAAATTAAGTGACTGTAGTAACCACAATCCCAAACAAGAATGGAAGGTAAACAGTTGTAGGTGTCTCATTCACCATTGTTGCAAGACTAGGATCCTGAACTCCTCACCTTGCATTCTACAATCTGCCGGTGTAATAGTTCTTGCTAATTGCGGCCGTAGCACGCTGCGTAATCAGCGGTTGCGAATTGGCTATTTTCAAGACAATTATCTGTGGCGTCCAGGCCCAGGGGGTGCTGGCCGTCGTCGGTGCTGCCCCAGCAACTCTTTCGAAGGTGAGGCAATGTTACTTTACGGAGTTTTGTTCGTAGTTTGTTCATGTACGCAGTTCACCTTTACATCTCTCTTTCGGCTGCTCACAAACTCCTCTTCTCCCTGCATAATGTGAACACTGCTAGTGAACGTGGCAATTATAAACCACTTTAAAAGCACCTATACTAGCACCTATAGGACGGACCATTGAAGATTTGAAAAAAACGGTTTGGGCTGAATTCGACCTCAAAAATCGCACTTCTTGAATACATTGTGGGTTTTTGATCTACTGCCCTGTACACCGTGATGTGTAAAACCTGCCCTGGCTACCGTATGTGAAACCTGGCCAAAATGAAAAATCTAATAGAGAGGTTAAGATGCACGTTATTTCTGACGTGACGCGAAAGTTCAGCTCGCGTTATTTGGCTCGCACGTCGAAAAACAACGCGAGTGACCTGCAGCTCACGTCGAAATTTGGAGTTTTACGCCAAATTTGACGTGAGATTGCGCGATCTGATTTTTTCGACCTCAGATTTGAATAGGAAGAATCAAATTGCCAAACTGAAGAGGTTTATCGAGAAATTGTCTTGCAACCGTCCAGGGCTTCTCAGGTATTCACAAAGGCCGAATGGCCATGTTCTTTTTTCTGAATGGGCTGGAAGGCAGTCGGTATATAATAATAATAATAATATTCGCGGGATCCGCGTCGGCATCGCTTGAATGTTCAGAAACACACAAACTAGCCTTCGCATCCGCAGGCCACCACTATGCCTGTTAACCTTAGTGGCGAATGCAGACCTCACAAGTGAGTCAGGGGAGAGGAGGTTAGTCTCTCAACCAATCGGCCGTGTAACGGCCCATAACCCTGTAAACTGCATCCTTGTTATTCTCACTCCGAGCTGTGAGTACCCAGTTGACCGTGGGTGTCGGCGCAGTTCAACACGCGTAAAAAGTCTTTTTACACGCTCCCTGCTACCAGCGCGGGTCTTGAACTCGGGACCTCATGATTTGCAGGCAGGCCTGCAAACCAATCGGCCATATGCGTTGGTACGGTATATAATTTCATGATTTTTACAACAAACAAAGCGAACACCCGCCCCTGCACCCTTATAACGGAGTGTAGGTAGGGTGCACACGAGCGTTTGCATCATGTTGCCCTGGCCCAGGACAAATTGGCAACTTCGATTCAGATATTCTCACATCTGGTTTTTTTCAGTAACTCATGCTGGAGAGCAACATGAGAGTGCTACACTTCAAGTGTTGGTGCTTTTCGCCAGTCGACATCCCATCTGATGCAAATTGTTGCGTCATACCACAAATGAATGATACTAAAACCTCTCTACAGTTGAACATCGATTATCCGCACATCGACTATCCGACCATTCGATTATCCGTAACAGTTTTTTTGGGCGCACGTGCCGTAGAGTACGCACTGTGCATGTAGTGAGCCATTCAAAAAATACGAAAATTTTGAAAAGTAGCACTCTATTCTATTTACAATGTACATGTACATGTATTTACAGTGTATTTTCTTATCCGGAACATTTGCCTTATCTGAACACCGCCTGACAGTTGTCTGCCCAGAGGTGGTCGGATAATCGATGTTCAACTGTATTAGCGCGCACACTCTGGTGGGCGTGTGATGTGTATGTGTGCAAGCATGGGTGTGTGAGTCTATGAATGTGTGACTAAGTGCACGAGTGAGTGCCCGTGTGTGTGTGTGTGTGTGTGTGTGTGTGTGTGTGTGTGTGTATGTGTGTACGTGTGTGTGCACGAGAGGTTGCGGGTTCAATTCCCGACGATTATGGTCGCACACGTCTTTCTTCTCTTTCTCGGACTCTTCCTGACTTTTCTTTCATTCTCCTGGGTGGTTACCAACAGCCAGTGTATGCCGGAGTATGTGGTGTGGTGTGTGTGTAGAAAAAAATGGAAAAATGAAAAATAGGGATTCACTGGCCAGAAAAAGTCACTTCAAACAGCTGTGTGGTGGATACCAGGCTAAAAATAGTGGCGGTCAATTCATCAGCCTTGCAAGCTGTTGAATGGTGTAATCCCAGCGCAAGTTGCTATGTCTAACATAGCTGTTCGCTATCATCGCTTCCGCGATGGGCATGTTTGAGGTCTGAGGTGTGTGCACGCATAGGTGTGTGTGTGTGTGTGCGCGCGTGTGTGTGTGTGTGTGTTCATTTGGGGCTGTGGCATGTGAGAGTGTGTGTGTGTGTGTGTGTTTGGTATGTGTGTGTGTGTGTGTGTGTTTGGTATGTGTGTGTGTGTGTGTGTGTGCCATTTTCGCCGTCGCCAGGACCTCACTCGCAACTCGAAGTTCTGTTCTACGTGACTGGAACACTGTCGGTCCTTTCAGGACCTGCCATCATCTTCGGACGGGCATTATTGTATTGTATTGTGTGTGTGGTGTGCGTGTGTGTGTTTGGATGGCCAAGTGTATACAGTAATCATACACGTGACATTCAAGAGGCACTTTTCGAATGTTATCATTATCTAGCAACAAAAGCTAGTGATACTCAATCTTCAGTTACACGTGGACGGTATCCTGCAGATGCCAATCGCCTTACAATATCGTTACTCTATTTCAATCAGAAATGGAATGCAAATCCTCACCTTCACAACTCAGGTAGAATTGTCACTTGGATGTTTCATAAAAAAAATAAGAAGCTCAGAATCGAATGAAACCCTGGACACTTTCCAAAACAACTTCGAAGACCTTTCCCCAGACTAATAAGATTACATTCAATAACTGCCACTCGGTGTCCTGAAATGGTTCAGTTGTCGACAACCTCATCAAATATTTAGCAAGAAGGGTATGGTCAATAATAATGACTTCATAAAAAAGAGACTCATTTCTCGTTCTCGCGTGCACCTGCTTGGCAGTGCTTTGCTTGCCGATGCACACTGTGCATGCTCGTGATACGATCGTGCATTGTGACATGTGATGTGCATGACCAATGATTACTGAGTACCGGTATATACGTATGTGAATGAGCTACAGACAGTGCACTAGTGCTGGCAACTGAAATCCGACCCCCTTGCCGGCGCGCCGCGCCGGCAAGGGTGCCGGATTTCAGTTGCCAGCACTGTAGCTACGCTTCCGTACTGCGACCGTAGCTTCTTTTCTCGTAGATCTACGACTACGAGCGCGAGTATACGAGTACGAGCGTGCATGAAACTTACTTGTACGAGTACGAGTAGATCTACTCGAGTACGAAGCGGTCATATACATGTACGTAGTATCAAGAGTACATAACTTCATAAGTCATAACCCACTTGTTGTCTGATGATTGCCTTAGCATTTAGCTACGTGCATGAAACGCAGCGTTACAACGTATGTTTCTATAATTGGTGAAACCATTCTTTTTGACCTTTGTAAGTCATAACCCATGTACTCTTGGTAGTATCTACAATTAATTTTTAGAGTTGCCCAAAACACATACACTATACAGTAGCCAGCAAAGATCAGGGATCTAGTGAATAGGGTGGAGACAGCGCGTGGGAGAGTCAGACTGAATGATTTCCGAGTAAACCAGACCCAGTGGACCCAGTGAGCACCTCTGCCCCGGGCCATGGCCCAGGCCAGGTCGCTCTCAACTCCAGCAAGAACAGAGACGTGCAGTCTGCCCAGATCAGCCAGGCCCTGTCGGACTTGCTTGTTGCGGGACTCCCTCCCACTGAGCAGCGATAACTTTCACGCATTGTGAAAGCCAATGCTTCAGGATGGCTCACCGTTCTCCCTTTGCGCCAAGAAGGTTATGACATGTCCTCTGTACAGTTCCGGGACCAGCCCGCCATCAGATATGGGCGCAAGCCCATGCATCTTCCTGCTGAGTTAGTGCGATGGCTGCGGCGCTCGCTTCACCCTGCAGCATGGGTTGGTTGGATTGCCACAAGCTACAAGGCCAGGGTGGCCTGGAGAAGAAAGGCCATAACAACATCCGCGACTCAGATGCCAGACTCGCTGAGGTAGCGTTTGGTGGTGTCCATGTTGAGCCTGTTCTCGTTCCGGAGGATGATCGGAACAGCCCTGCAAGCTGATTGGTCAGCCCGGGGTGCCTGGGAGGGCAGCCTGGTGGCATTGTTCGACAATCGCATCGTTGATGCTGGTGCACCCAGCTACCGCCGGACATCTTGGGAAGCCGTCGCTCGGAAAGCAGCAGAAAGCAAGAAGAAAAAGTATGGCTCTCTCTCTCCCTCTTTCTCTTCTCTCTCTCTCTCTCTCTCTCTCTCTCTCTCTCTCTCTCTCTCTCTCTCTCTCTCTCTCTCTCTCTTCTCTCTCTCTCTCTCTCTCTCCTCTCTCCTCTCACTCTCTCTCTCTCTCTCTCTCTCTCTCTCTCTCTCTCTCTCTCTCTCTCTCTCTCTCTCTCTCTCTCT